GCATGGAGGGAGCTTTGGAAGCTTGGCAGAGTGTTGGCGGGCAGCAGTTGCACGTTGCATGTAGTTATTGCACTCAATTGCACGTGCTGGAATCCCATTCCCACTAGCTTTTTTAGCTTGGCCTCCATTTCAAACGGAGAGTGCGATGCAGTAAAGAGAAAGAGGTTGGGACTGCTGCCGATATTCAAGAATATACAAAGCCGGCCCCGGCCCCAGGATATCTTTCGGAAGCCCGTTGAGGGTGCCAAGAACGATGGTGCCAAAGGCTGCATTGTGGGCTGTGGCACTGGCTTGGCAGGACTTTCTCTGGCAGCCTAGGGCCTCCTAGTGTCCTAGTGAACCTAGTGTCATTTCTGGCCATTTAGAAATTCAAGTGAGCTTCCACGAGAATATGGCTGTGATTTTTTTGAGGGGTCTGTAACAGAGCCGCGGCGGACATTTGTTACGAGGTCGTTGAAGAGTCAACTTGCAGAGCTTGCCATTCAGATGAAAAGTGGAAACAGGGGCCGCTATTGCTACTGTGCTTTGCTTTGTCTCGCTACAGACCTCGTTACACAGCCGTTGCATACCTCGTTACAGACCCACCCCAGCCCCGGCCAGCTGCCCCCCTTTCACAGCTTGGTGCCGCGCTTTCGTTGCATAGCGTTACAGACCCAACCCGAACCCGTGACCCCCCTTTTTGCCGCCGCTTGGCTTGCGTTGAATAGCTGCAATCAAGCTGGAGCTGCGGAGGCGCGCGTTGCGTACTGCGCTTTGCCTCTTCCTCGTTACAGACCTCGTTACATTGCGTTACATACCTCGTTACAGACCCAACCCCAACCCGAACCCGTGACCCACCCACCCTTTTTGCCATCGCTTGGCTTTTGCCAGTTGCCAATTTCTAACTGGAGCTGCGGAGACGTGCTTTTCGTGCTGCTCTTGTACTGAAAAGTTGCGACTGTCGAGCGGGAGCTGCTGCTCTTCGTTGTTTTGCACTACATTGTGCTACTGATACTGGTACTTGTCAGGAAATGCTTTCCCGTTACAGACCTGCGAAACCAGGACCTCCGTTACAGACCTCCGCAACAAGATTCGTGGCGCGTCGCGCGTTACAGACCCTCAAAAAATCAGCTTGTCTGTCGGATCCGTCTCACGGAGTTTGCAGGAACATTGGTCAAGCCAGTGGTGGGTATTGGAACCGCAACTTCCGATGTCATCACGGGAATTTCTGCTCTCGCTACAATGGACTCGACTGCAAAGAAGAGACGTCTCAGACTCAGTCGTTTTGCAATGATTTATGGTTGGTTTGGCTCTTGTATCAACTTTTTGACGAGGAGTCTGTCAGCAAATGCTAATTCAGGCCGTGAGCGCTGCCGTTGCCGTGGACCGCGGCTACTATACGGCCAGCCGCTGGGCTGACTTGCGCAACTTACGTTGGCTCCCACACTAAAGACTCAACATATGAACACACTTCTCAAATATGCAGTTCGATTCAGCAGTTCCTCGGGGGAGAGCAGCATAAGCCGGAGCACCCCCAGCACATGCCTCATGAGCTCGTTGTTTTCAAAGCAAAGTTTTTGCGGTGCAGATGATTCAGACTTTGGTTGGCTTTCGCTGTCCAAAACTACAACGCAGAATAAGGAGTTGGATATGAGAGTGGCAACAAAGCACTTTTCCCACCTACGCTGTCTAGACTCACAGATTGGTCTCCAATTCTCATCTCAGCAAGCTGCACCAAGGCCTGCTGTATTGCGGAAGTGGAGCGAGTCAGATTCTCAGCTCTTGATCCAGCTGGGCAGCATGACAGACGGTGTTTTGGTGCCTGGCCGGCAGAGAGAGCGAGAGCGAGAGGAGACAGAAGAGAGAGAAGAGAGAGAAGAGAGGTCCCAGTCACAACCTTCAGCGTTCAAGCTGGTGGCCCCGATCACTGACATGATATTGTTGCCCAAGCAGCTTCGTATAAATGACTGCCGACTGCTCTAAGGAGATTGTGCCGCTGGCAGTCAGCATGTTCCATCGCTATGTTATGCTACTATTTGCTGATCCTGAGAAGTGCATTAGCGTGTGCTGTGCGCAATGGGGAGCACAATTCCTGACTTGGCAGCCCTTTCCTGTAAGGACAAGCTGGTTCTGGCCAAGTTGCAGACAATGCATGCAGGCTTCAATCGCCACGGAACCACAGTAGGCTTGTCTGGAAAGGCAAAGTCGGAACGTGCCAGCTGCTTTGCGGCATTTGAATCCTGCATTTCAATATCACAAGCAGGAAACTGAATTGCTGTTCCTTTCGATCAAGGCCACGGAGGCCATCAGCTGGATAGCGACTTTGCAAAGATGCTGCAGCCCATTGAGGAAGTTTTGCAAAGGCAACGGACTTTTCAAATCGTTGCGGGTAGCATGGCTTACCGTTGTTTGTCTGCCAGTCTGCTTTCAGGACACGGAGCGACGGCAGCATGCATGATGTCCCTCATGCTGAATTGATGCGCGGCCTTCCCTTCCATGATATCAGAGATGCGAGGTTTTCAGGCCCAAGAAGCAAATCAGGGCATGGTTTCGGGTGGTTTCAAGATCCGAAGTATGAGTCACGCCCCGTCCCTGCAAGATGATCACGAAAAGCTGATCCTGGAAGACAGACAGGGCAACGTGTACGAGATCCCGCTCTGTATTGAGACAGACGCTAAGGCAGGGGCATAAACCATCAGTGGATTTGTGTTTGTAGTTCAGCCTTTGCCAATTTTGCCCATCTTGATTTGCGAGATTCCTTGTCAGGAAGCTTTGCTGAACCTGCTGAAGCAGGCCGCATCAGGAAACATTGACTGGAAGCAGTTTGCCGCAGTGTGGAGGCCTGACGAACAGGTCACTTGGCCATGCATGTCTCCTATCTCGATCCAGTTCGACATTGTGGTCGTTTGGAATAATCAGAGTTATATTTATGTGAGTCAACCTCAGAATTATCAAAGACCACTTTAGCAACGGCGTTTCATTCAATACTGGTTTTTTGCATTTTCCTTGGAGAACGATAGGGGACTCACAAAAAACGATACCCCTGAACATGGTTTGTGCTGGACCTTCGAGCTGGAGCTGCCGAAGTCTAACTTGTGTACCGTGCCTGTACTGAAAGCTGCGACTTGCGACCTGGAGGTTGCTGCCAGCAAGCAAAAGCCGCTTAGACTGACACGTGACCGCCGCAAGCTGCGACCTTCGAGCTGGAGCTGCCGAAGTGTAACTTGTGCACTGCGCTTGTGGTGAAAGTTGCGACTTGCGACCTTGAGGTTGCTGCCAGCAAGCAAGCCGCCAAGACTGATATATGATTACCGCAAGGCAGAGAAGGCTATTGTGTGTTTGCTTGGCTCTAACAGCTTATGGAAAATTGTGAAAATTTTCGTCACGCGACACACGCCCAGAACGATACCCCGGTCGATACCCCGTCGATACCCCGAGCATTGGCCCGAGTTGCAAATGTGAGGCCTAGTGCATTTGCTTACGAGTTCGCGCGGCGCTATAGGGGTTTGCGTAGAAAGTTTGTTGGGCACGCGTGGTCACCGCGAAGAGGGTTCACCGGGCACTTTCCAAATTCGCGCGGAGTCGCAGCGAGGGCGCTTTGACACGCGCAATCCTCGCAGAGGGTTCATTGGGCACTTTACGAATTTGCACGGCGCCACAGCGAGAGCGCTTGGGCGCGCAGGATCACTGCAGAGGGTTCACCGGGCACTTTCCAAATTCGCACGGCGTCGCAGCGAGGGCGCTTTGACACGCGCAATCCTCGCAGAGGGTTCATTGGGCACTTTAATGCACTTTACAAATTTGCACGGCGCCACAGCGAGAGCGCTTCGGCGCGCAGGATCCCTGCAGAGGGTTCATCGGGCAGTTTTAAAATTCGCACGGCGTCACAGCGAGGGCGCTGCGGCACGCGCAATCCTCGCAGAGGGTTCATCGGGCGCTTTACAAATTCGCACGGCGCCACAGTGGGAGCGCTTCGAGGCGCGCGATCCCTGCAGAGGGTTCATCGGGCACAGCACGAACACGCGAAACGTGGAGAACGATAGGGGACTCACTACAAGTAGAACGAATACACCCCACACAGCAAATATAGACGCTGGCTCATGTGTTGCTTGTGTTGCTCAATTGGAAGCGCAGTGTGTGTGTGTGTGTTTATTTGCACTGGTGGTATGTTCTAGCAAACACCTGTAGCACACAATTTGTCAGATGCCCCATGCTGATGCTGTGCTGGCTTTGCCTTGCACACGCTTTGTAGCAGACTCAGGTGCAGGAAAAGGCAATCCGGCCAAAGCAGAAAGACGAGGCAGATGCTGCAGATGAGATGCAAATCATTTCCATGTAATTTAACAGCGTGCATCAATTTCTTGCTTGCCCAAGGGCAAGTTTAATAGGCCAGTCAACACTGGGTCTGTCAAGATGCCAAAGGCATTTGCAGACTTGTGACTCCAGCCAAATTCTGGCAAAGCTCAGCCCCGGCACTTTCTCCATGCCTTTGTTGCCGAACACTTATCTCACAGTATGAAGAAAGTTGGATGGCAGCATGTTGATTGCTGCAGCGCGCAGTGAAGCGGGAGAAAATGCTTGCAATCCAGATGCAGAATTGACTGCCAATGAAGGTTGGCTTGGTCTTTAGGATGTAGGAAAGACTGTGTGCTAGCCCACTATTTAACTAGGTTTGTCGTGCAGCTGGTACTGGCGGCAAGTTTGCATTGCACATCATGTATGAAAGTAAGGATCATGCTCCCCCCAAATCATCACAAACTGAGTTAATGGGCCCTGCACGGTCATGTAGACTTCAGCAGGCTTCTATGTACAGTGCCTGAGCATCTCAGAGTTTTTGACCTGAAGAATTGGAACACTTCAGACCTGTAAAGTGTATCCTTATTTGTCCTCTGCAGTGTCAAGAAACTCTGGAGTATATCAGCCTATTGTGAACAGACGATCAGCATTGTACAAAATGTTGCTCTACAGTCACCAAGGTGTCGTAGTATGTTTCATTTTGTCATGTTTCAACAGTCGCTGAGGTCGCACATTCGAAGATGATGCGAAGGAGCCTATTTCTTTGGCATGTTGAAAGATGTACGACAAAGGCTTCTTGGATGGTCCAGGTGCGTTGTGCACACCTTTCCCTTTGTGCCTCAAGAGGCTCCAGAAAAAGTCGAGCATTGAATGATGCCAATCCAGAGATGTCTAATGATGCTGGTGAGGGTCCTAGCCGTCTATGGGTGAGAAGCTAAGGTTTTTGACAGCACCTGGTCACAGTGGTGGCTGGCTGTCAAAGCCTGGAAGCGGCAGCGGCTGCGGCGGTGTTTGCGACTTTGGCGCACCTGCCTGAGCAGGGAGCTGGCCGCTTTCCTGGGGGCCTGGAGGGTGCAAGTGCCGCTCGTCGACTGGAACTGGATGACTGGATGTGAATGGTGCTGACTTGTCACATTTAGCAATCTGGTGAGGTCTATTTGGAGAGAGCTGTTGGGTTCTCATGGCAAGTGTACTTCAGATGACGATGTGGAACTGCAGGTCAATTGCACGCGTGCCACGAGTCTTCCATGCTTGGCGGGCTGCCGTACTTCTCAGACGAGCCTGCAGGATGGTCCTTGCCTTTGGCCTGCAGTGGTGGCACTTGGTGTCAAGACGTGCCCCTTGTTTGCATTTCATTCATTTAGGGCACTCAAGCAGAAATATAACGAAGGTAAGAAACCATCGACAGAAACAAAACAGCATTGCCGCACTGCAACCGGGAAAGGACACAGAAGTTTGCCGCGTGCCTGAACACGCTCAGGCAATAATCAGTTCAGCGTGATGCATTACGTGGAAAGACCTAGGAATTACAAAGAATAAGCGGCGCGTATTTTTCTAGGGGTGGTGCAGCGCCAAACGTTACTCAGGGCATGGTGCACAAGTTATGCACGCTTGGGGTGCATTAATCTCTTGGGAAAGCGTCGAGCTTCAGGCGATTTACCCTGGGTTAGACACGGAAACAAATCAGGATGGTATTGTTCGGCACAGCAACCTGAGCTAGTCACAATTCATGGTTCGAAGGTGGACTACTAGTGGAAAAGCAGTCACGTGCGCCGTCGCCACGCATGCTGCGGGAAGACAAAGCAAGGAGAGAGAGAGAGAGAGAGAGAGAGAGAGAGCGAGAGAGAGAGAGAGAGAGACTTGGAAACCAGGAAAGGTCCTCCAAATGCACATTCTGGGCATGCTGGATTGCGCTGCTTGAGGCAGAAAGGCCTGCGGACACGTGCTTCATCTTGCTGGGATATGTGTAGATTGGGAAGCAGTTCCAAGTTTTGCATATGCAGACATATGCGCTTGCGGCACGCCCCAAGCTTGGAGGTTGCACGTGCAAGAGCCAAACCCTTGAATATTTTGAAGTGGGTGAGGCCATGACTTCCTGGCGATTTGTCCTGGGATTGAGAAGGCAAATGGTTTTGGATTCTGCGTGGGGGCCGGGCAACTGGACAGCTGCCGCTCGTGTTTGCCATGGGACTGCACTTGATTTGGGGCAGTCAGCCATGGCACTTGCCCCAGCCGGTGGCAGGTTGCGCTGCTACATACTACGCGAGGTGTTTGGCTTCTGGGTGTCCGCAAGAGAAGTCAGGAGAGCCAGGGCAAAGTACAATGCTTGGTGAAATCTGTTTATGTTGCAGATCAATGTTGCAAATGCCAGGATGAGATTGGAGCGCAAGATGCAGAGGTTTTGGCAGTCTTGTGAGAGAGGAATGGCAGTGGGCCTGGCTTGAGACAGACATGGCTGGCGAGCTTAGTTTGCAGCGCCCAGGTCATGGCAGCAGCAGTTGCCTCGAGATCTGTTGCAGACGTTTTTCAGGCGTGGAGGCAGGGGTCGGTTCAATTCAATTTACAAAGTCTTTTAGCAAGCTCATACATAATATGTGACTTGCTTGCTGGGTCGCAGGTTCTGTGGTCGGATTGCGCTGGTGCGTCGTGAATTCTTTGCCAAGACTCTGCAGGCGCAGGTTTCTAGGGCAGACTTGTCTGGCTTCCTGTCTCGTCCAATTAGCATGCTACGTCCTGGCAGGAATCACACCAAAGACCGATTCGACTTGCCTTCGACAGCTTCAAGATGGCCCACATGCAACGCCCTGCTCCAATATCCATGTGTCAACACAATCGGCTGAATCGGCGGGATCGTCAATGTTGATGTAGAAACAACACGTGGACTCCAAAGAAAAGCTGCTTCGCTCGCTGCTGCATTGCAGGCAACCGCTAAAGTCGCCTTTTTCCATTTTATTGCCATACCAGTGAGGAGAGCTGTAATGGAGATTGGGAAAGTTGTTTGATGCATCCGTTGAGGTTGCATTTTTTCAACTTGTTGCGATGCTTCAGCAGGTGGGGGCGCAGCCCGTTTGAGCTGGGCCGTTGTCGCTGCCTTTGCTGCTCCTGTTGTTGCTGTTGCCGTTGTTGCTGATGCTGCTGCTGCAGCCACGCGTCCCCGCCGCTGTCTGTTGCCGTTACATCGGGATGAGCTTCTGAAAAGCACTCGTTGGGGCTTCCAGGATCTAGCGATTCCATGCGGGAAAGCTTTAGTAATTGGGACAGCGTGGGGTGACATTAGCGGGTCCCTTTTGTAGGGTGTTTCTACCGGGTCTTGGTCCCAGGTCGAGTGATCGTATCATCACCGCCTGTGATGTCTTTCAGATTGGACAGCAGAATGCGATGCTCTTAGCATGAATGACAGCCGTGCTCTCCACGGCAATGCTGCCAGTGCGTGGTCATGCTGACTGCAAATGTTTTGGATGCAAGCTGTATTGCTGACTTGAGTGCAAACTCCCGAGGGCAAGCCCTTCAAGGCGCACCCGTGCACCGTGCTTTGCATGGTGCATTGTTGCTTTGTGCATTTTACAGACCACTCCGGGCTCAATCTGAGGGATGGCCTCCCGAGCTCATTCTCCCAATCCGCCCTCTCCCATTTGACCCGTGCCATGGTCTTCCAGTCCCGGGAGCAATCGCGTTGCAATGAGGAAGTGGTCTTCATGGCCAATGAGTATGCTCTTGCTTGTGCTCATGGCTTGTGCGGTAGTGCAAATCTCCAGCGGAATACTAACTACGCAAAGGCTGCTTCAATCGGAGGACTCCGACGCATGGCGTGTTGTATTGCATCTTGGCACAGCACATTTGCCTGCTCGGCCTTGTTCCTTGTGTATTGCCCGGATTGCTTCATCCTGCACTGGAGATCCTGAGGTATGAAGTGGAGTGCCTTGTCTTGTATGTGGGGATGTGCTTGCTGGTTTATCACAGAAGAGAGGTCAGCAAAGATCCCCTTGGCAGTCTGTCTGGCGAAATTGTAGCTGCGTCATGGGCAAGCACCTACTTCACCTCCTACCTGTACTACTTAACCAGCTCTGCCGAGTCGGAGCACGCCTGCACAAAGCCTTGGATTTCCTCTGTTGCAGCTGTGTTCACGGTGCTCAGACAGTACCTGTATCAGATCTCCATTTGGCTGCAAATGAAGCTCGTGGGCGACGAGCGACGATGGCCACGGAAAATGTTGTACCTTCAGAATGTTTCAGCATGTTTCAGTCCGTTGATAGCGAATATAGTCTCAATAGTTTGTGTCCTCGAGAGTGCCCTGCGTCTTCGTTTTTCTGAGCCTTTCACCTTTCACTAGGCACATGATCGTGGGCATTGGCGCCTTGCAGATCGCCCTGCAGGTTGGCAACGCAGTTTACATCTGTCAAGATGCTCGACTTTGATTCATCATCCCTTATGCTCAGCCATATTGAGCATGCGGGTTAGAGTGATCAGGATTGATTGTGCTGAGAAGTTGTGCTGATTTTGCGTGAGGCTTGGGAGGGTGCTTTGCTGCAGAACGCCCTGGTGGCCAGCTACACGCTGCATCTTGCATGAGACGTGCAGTTTCGTGAGTCAGTGCACCTCACTACAGTGTCCTTTTACATGTTCATCCTGAAAAGACGCCAGACCTGCCCCCCCTCGCCCCCGGCAGAGGTGGCACGACTTATGGCCCAAAGTGTGCTTCAAGGTATAATGGTGGCAATGCCGTAGTCTACTCGCTGCTGTGCGTGCTGGCGATTGACTCCTTCGGAGCTTTACAAGCATTGGATTTGTTGAATGGCTTCTGTGCGCTTGGATTGGATTGAGTTCAATACTGCTTGCCTGGTATCGTTGTGTCGGCCTGTCAGGAGGGCTGTGGTTGGCCTCGGGGGAGTTGGCCAACGACCTGCGTGGCTACTCCCGAGCTGAGGCGAGATGGGCACATGGAGCCGCTTGGTAGGCAGGCCCTGGCTATGACAGTCAATCAGTATATTATGGGTCTGTATTTGTTTTGCTGTTTCGATTCTTTAGTCTGCGTGGGACTTGGGACCCGGGCGAACCATACATCTGAAACACAAACAAATATTGCGTTGTCCACTGCAAAAACCGTACTTGCATACTCAAAAATAGCGGCGCCACCCAGAGCACATGCCCAAGCAACACTCCTAAATAGGGCTTAAATTCGGGCTTACAAGATCAGCAGCTCTTGAAGACTCTCTTTGGATTGGTTCGCGTGTATGAATCGGGGTACAGTATGGGCAACGTAGAGCTACAGGTTGGGGTTGGCTCGAAGTTCGTCACGCTCAGTGTTGTTTTTTTCCGGAATCAAGGGTTTATACAAAAAGAGGAACTGCATGATGTTCGCGTAGGCGTAGGCTCGCGTAGGCATTTCGCGCGCATTATTGTTTTTTGTTCGTTCCCTTGCGAAGGCGCCCGCGTAGGCAAGATTAGGAAAGCCTGAAATGATAGCTGTGCATGTGTGTAAAGCTTTCGCAGTGATTGGGAGAGTGGCTGCGTGGTTCACAGTAGCTATGAGATGTGGATCGCTGCGTGTTAACAGTAATTTCTTATCGTTCAGAAGGTCTGGCGTGGATTCTTCAACACGACGCCTCCATCCGCATAGGCTGCGCGTAGGCGCCCCCGGAGGGCCCGAGGCCCATTTCGTGAATTGTCCATTTCCGGGCGGGTCACTGCCGCTGCTCATGTTAAGCTTCGTTTCAGCCTGCACCGTTTCAGCCTGCAGCTGCCAAACGGTGCACCTCAAGTACTACACTTGTACTGAGAAAAGCTGCGATTTTGGAGTTTGAGCTGCGAAGTGCATGTCACGTATCACAGTTGAACAACTCACAAGCCGAACGCATCACTCGGCAGAGTTACAAAGCTCGAAGTAGCAAAGCAGTGGGCAAGCGGCTTTGCGTAGGCATCCGCGTAGGCAAGGAAGAGGCAAGTACGCGCGCGTAGGCGCCCCTCGTGTAGGCGTGTGTGCAGTGGAAAAGGCCCCGCGCGCTCAAAAAACACTGCCCAGCTGTCACTTTGCATGGGCCGGCTTACTGCGACGTTCACATTGCGTTTCAACAACGCGCAGGCTCACACGAGCTGCTTGGCTGCGGAGTTGTGCGCCCTCTGCTGGATTTGGGGGCATGTGTGCACGCGCTGCCACTCCCTCTGATCCGCAGATTGCATGTCGCAGAGTGACAGCAAAGGCTCAAGGCTCTGCGGCGGACATCTCGCCCTTCCTACTGCGCAGTTCAAGGCTAGAAGCTTGAAGCCAAACCTTTGCTGACAGGCCGACTCGCTCTAGCTCATAGCTCCACACGGCGTGACTTGAAGGAAGAGTTGTAAACCGCGCAAGCCGCTGCCAGCGAGAGTGAATTGTCCCGCTCCGCCGTTGAAGTTGCAAAGAGTGGCCTGAGCTTGAAGAAGTCCGAGCGCATTCCTTGGCTGGCATGCCTAAGCCATCAAGCTCTTGTCAGCGCCTGGAAGGAAGCCTTCGGGGCCGGCCAGGAAGAGTGCTGCTAAGCGGAAAACTCGCAAAGGCAAAATGACCTGGGCGAACCGTTGGGATGCACGTTGCTCACAGTGGCAGGTTCTCCGGGCCATCTGGTGTGTCGGTTTCTCGCAGAATCTCTTTGTTGGTATAGACGAGAATTGGAGTGCCCAATAACCAAAAAGCAAACAGGCATGCGAGCCATGCCCCGAACCATGCCTGCGATTCATACCCTCTACACCAACTTCCCGGCAAGGGCGCGTTATACAAGCACATGCCCACGTATACTCAGTGGCATCACATGGCGCCAAGGTGTTTGCTCGATTCCTGTTCTCTACATCGGCTTCATGTGCCATCAGCTCCATTGCCAATGCGACAGCAACCTTTGTCAACATCTATGGCTACAGCTACGCGGACAAGAAGTGGTATTCCGGAAGTGAGGCAGTGCTCCTTCCCTTCTTCAAGGTGTTCGAGCCATCCCTTTGTCTGATCTCTGTTCTTGTGGAAAGTTTCAATCGCGCTTACGTGCTCCTTGGTTGCATGGCGCGCTGCTTGCAGTTTTTGCTCATTTTGGGTTTTCTAGCTCTGAAGGCCATGTACACCATCAATGTACCAGCATGCAATGAGGCTGGACATCCTGCAACCAGCACAGCCCGCCATTGTCCAGCACTTCAGCGAGACTCCACCGATGGTCAAGTCGACTTCGAAGAGCGATGCCTGGCAAGCGGTGCTGGCCTGAGATCGCATGTTACAGCGAGCCTTCAGACTGGCGCGGCCAGTGCCCGTGCGTTGAGCATCGATTTGAAGTACAAAAAGCTTAGGCGGTACAAGACTTGGCACATCGGAGCATAACTGTGGATGAACTTTTGGCCTTCTATTGCCTGCTGGGTGAGAGTGGCCAGATGATGCCGCACTTCACACCGAATCTGTCTACTACGTCAGATGTAGTGCGTCAGGCATTTCATCTCATTGAGCATGCTGCTATATGCTGCTAGTGAGGGAAATGGTGCCACCCGAAACAGAACATGCGCTATAATGTAGACAATGTGGCCTAATGCGGTGATGCGGAGAGCCATTTTGGCAAAATAGCAATACAGAACAATGTTAATATGGTTGATAAGTCTGTTGGGCTCACGGCTCAGGAATGTGCGTTTGTTTTCTGTCTTGGATGCACAAAACGAAGGCGATAATTCCTGCGTCAAGATGGAAACGCATTGGAGTTTGCTATGTCGCCAAGCTGCCCCGGGGGTCGGCTCTTCCAGATAGACTAGTGACTCGCCATTGCACAAATAGCAAGAGGTTGACTCAGAGGTAATTGCATTCATTCTTGTTTGACCAGTCAAACAATCATGTCCGCTGAACGATTGTTGCCGACTGTGGGATCAACAACTGCAGGTCACACATTCGTGGTCAAATCATTTTCTCCACCTTGCTCCTTGTATGCGATTTAAATATACAACGCAGCACGAGAGCAATGCGTTCAACCATTGTTTGAGGGCTCATCCTAGGTGGCAGCTGTTGTAGCAGATGCTTTTGGCCAAAGCGAGTACAAGGCCGGGGAAGAATGACCGCGAGGTGAGAGTGCATTAGCTATTCAATGCTATTCAATGCGATTCAGTATTTGACCGTGACAGTAGTGTCCTATTGACAAGCACGCTTGGCTTTCTGCATAGAGCGATCTGTTGCAAGGGCACAGTCAAGCAGCTGATCACTCGCAGCAACATAGAGCGAATACGCCAACAGCTCCGACAAGCTGAAGCTGACCAGACAAAGTATTGGATTTGTGCCTTGCAACATTTAGGTTTGTATTTTGGGAGTGGCCACTTGTTTTGGGTGGGCAGTATACGCAATATCGATTTCACTAGGCGCCTTCTGCGTGAACCAGCACGCTTCCATTTGCGGCAGTCACGGCGCGCGGCCAAACGATTTTGATCAGCAGCAGGCTGGCACGGACACGGATGACACCATGACACGCACGACAGCTCACAATGTGTTCAGCAGCGAGCCGCAAGGAGTGGGATGTGAAGCGCC